ATTTAACCAGCATGGATACTCTTTTTTTTTTTTTTTTATATTTCTCATCAGTTTAACTTGTACCTTCCTGCCTAAGCAGCATTACAATGGCAGTTTTGACAATGACAGATCTCGTTACAGATATGTTCACGTATTTGACTATTAGTCTATTTAGGTACTACAAATATTCAGACATTATTATTATTATTATTCGTGATTGAAATTATATGTTATTTGTTTACAAATCTTTTATATCAGACTAGGGTTAATAAAAAAAACTAAGCCCAACTAATATTTATCGTCTAACCTAGCTAGCGCCTCTTTTATGCTTCTGTCTTAGTCATCGTTTTATCTGACTTTTCCCCTTCTTCTTCCATCTCTCTTTTTTTCTTCTTCTTCGTCTTCCATCTTATTATCCCATTAACTCAAACCCATTATTTCATTCATCAAAACAGTAACAGCTTAAGCCCTCAACACTGCTCAAACCACCACCAAGAAAACGCCTTTAAGCTACATTGGCGAACCCATATTCTTATAGTTTCACAGCTACATGTGAAGAATCTTATGTCGCAGGAGAAGCAGCTCATGGACAGTGATGAACATGAGTAAATATATATTGTAAATTTTTGAAAATATATATTGTACTTTTAGAAGACTATAAGAAGTTTACTCACGCAAGGTGATGTTTACTCATGTTTAGGGACCACAGGGATGGATGGTGAGAAAAATATGAATCATTGATTTTGATAAGTCATGGAACCAAGGGGAGTTTTATGGGTATTATAGAAATATGTCTCGAACCACACGGAGTTTCATGAGTACTCAAGAAAATATGATGGAAAAAAATATTGATGCTCTTTAGCAAAAAAAAAAAAGATATTGATGCATAAAGTCTCATATCCACACCACACATATCCAAACAGCTAACCGTGCATATTCGTTTCCGTCTTTTTTCTTAAACGTACATGTACGATTATGTCATATAAGTAAAGTTTGGTCGGATTTTAGGGTTTAGGGACTACAGGGATGGATGGTGAGAAAAAATATGAATAATTGATTTTGATAAGTCATGGAACCACAGGGAGTTTGATGCGCAAAGTCTCACATCCACACATATCCAAAACTTTCTTAAAGTCTCATAGTGAAAAAAATATGAATACATCGTGGGTGTATACCTTAATGATGTACATCATTTAACAAATTACTAAGTACTATAAAATTATCTCAATTCGATACAACCGGGAAAGAACAGACACGAACTGGCTCAAAAAAGGAAGCCCTAGTCTACACAATTACAACATAAACGTACATAACCGTTTTAAACAAACACTTAACCGTGTATATTCGTTTCCAACTTTGTCATAAACGTTCATGTGCGATTACGACATATAAGTAAAGTTGGGTCGGAATTTTGATAAACCTACATAACCGTTTTAAACAAACAACGAACCGTTCATATTCGTTTCGTTCTTTGTCATAAACGTTCATGCGCGGTTATGTTATATAAGTAAAGTTTGGTCGGATTTTTGGTTTTCATTTGATTTTCTGATAAATTGCATGTACTATATAACATAAGTTGGTGTACTATATGCTAAAACAATTTTGTTTTGTTTGATCTATCCAGAGCTGTCTGCTGATCAGAGCCTAAATATGATGAAAAATTATGCTAACCAAAACTTGAATCTATAAATACCTAAAATTTTGAATTCATTCACATATCTAACCAATTTTTGTTAAAGTTGAGTACTATTCTTTGTATCGGCCTTTGTTCGATTTTTTAGATTCAGATATTTTGTCCAGCCTTATATTTTTATTGTGACAATATTTTAAACAAAAATGATGATGGTTCATATTGATTTTGGGTATGCAACTATTTGTAAACCAAAAACTCATTTAATGTGTATCTAACCCATTTAGTTAATCATAAAAACTGTTTAAGCCCATTTAAAAAAAATGAGTTGAACTTAAAAAAATGTTATCATCTCAGATTGTCAATCGACACTTCCACATATTCCATGTCCGTCTTGTGATGAATAAAAGGGGGGTTAGGGTTAGGAAAGCGAATTTGTTATGCAGTTCACGTTCTCTCTCAGTAATTTCAATAACTTCTAAATAATCAATAAATCTTAGTTGTATCGATCGCTTGTGAGATTTTCGAACAATATTGATTAATGAAATCTTACATTTGTTAGAGTAGGTAATTGTTTCTCAATAAATATATAGGAGATTATAGTAATGACATAAATCAAAACAATACCTCTTGTTTATTCTGCAGATAGAGAAGTCCCTTCTACTAGAGACACTGAAAAAACACTGTACAATCATTTGTCATTTTCTTATTGCTTAGTATTTTTAAAATATTAAAACATGTGTTAAGAAATGCATCGAGAGCTTTGACCAAAGCTGGGTACCATTGCAATCTTTTTAAACATTGTTTCAATGCTATTACTCGTTGATTCCTTAGAAAATGATTGAGTGTTTACATGTTTTTCAAAGTTTTTCAAAGTTTCAGAAGGAAGTCAACCTCTAGTTCCTGCCATCTCGATGCTCCGTAGCCATCTCTCTTGTGTGGTGCTTCTGTGAGGGGACCGGAGTCCATCCTTTCTTCATCTTATGGCCACTCTTCCTCGGGTTGGATTCCCAGGGACTGGCTTGTTGCCTTCTGGAGTGGACAGCGTCTGGAGTAGACTCTTCCGGGTTCTGATGGCCGGACCAAGGCTTGGTCTCCCTTGCTTCGGGATATGGTCTGCGGTTCCTCGGACCATTCTCCGGCTGGAATCTCCAATGATCTCCGTTTGCTTGTATTCAGGTCCCGGTTTCTTGCTTCTACGAGTTCTACTGAAGCTTAATATGGTTGTTTGTTGACATCATTCTCTAGCTAAGCTTTGAACATGTTTTTAGGAATGTGTTTAGACCTTTATTGTTCTAAGTCTGTCTTTTTTACCTTTTTTGTGGCTTGCTTAGACACCCATGCTTTAATTAGCTTCCATAGATTCATTAGGTTTTGATCTCGTCAAAACTATTGTATCCTTTGTATCATTAACTAGTTAATGAAAATTCACATACTTATCAAAAAAAATGTTTGTGATTTTGAACTTTACATAAGCAGCTTGCTGCTCTGTTGATATCTTTAAAACGGTTTTGTGTGTTTGTATAAACAAAACTATAAGATTTATGTGTTTCACTATGCCACAACAGCTTAGAGTACCATTACAATGGTAAACTGATTGATTGATTCTCTTTTGAGTTATACATTGCACTGAGTCAGATATTACAACACAATACAACCTCTAATCTTAATTCTTTTGTATAAGAGCTAGATGTCCAAAGTCATCAAATCATATGGCTAACAATTTTGGGAAAGCTCTGATTTTGTGGGTATAGGTAGGTGATTCGGTTTTATTCATCGTTACCAACAAAACTACAGAAAAGAGGTTAGTGTTAATGAAATCTTTAAAATTAGGTGAATATTAAGACCTAAGCACAGTGTGGTAATTAAACTGGTAAGTGAGCATTATAATGTGTTAAAGTGGTTGGTGGCTAATCTCTGTTACCAACTATCATTCTCCGAGATGTGGACAGGACATTTGCTAGTAGTTAACATGTAACACTACAACTAAAAGAAACTTCAGTTTTTGTGTCCTATATATACGATTACAAGTGCATGTCTATATTTCAACATCTCAAACTAAAAGAAAGAAAGACAAATTGAGTGATCTAAACCATAAAAGATGGATGAGAAGGTTGAGAAAGAAATATACAGAAAGGTGAAGATAATTAAGGAGTTAATGGAAAAACTAAAAGCACTAGAAGCGGCGGCCATGGCAAGAAAACCGGTGGATGTAGAGTCAAACCTCAAGACCAAAATCAAGAATGTGCAGGAGGAAGTAGCCCAGATTCGGAAGGAAAATAAGAAGAAGGAGATGTCTGAGCTCATGTTCCAACTGCTGAGAGGTGAACGTAGCGTTTCTGACCTTTCTCAAACCGAGAGGGATGATTTAATACCATGCATAGATGAGAAGCTTGCAAGTGTCACCAACGAGGCTGCAGATGTTGCACCTGAAGTAGGGGGACCTTCTTTCCGCCCATCTGATGACACGAAGAAGACATATGAAGGAGGGAGCAGCAAATCTGGTGGTGCAGACGATGATGCCTAATGAAAGTAGCTGTCCAATAAGAAAATTATAGTGTCTTGGAATAAAGCATGTTGTTGTTGTGTCTTTGCATGCTCAGTGTCTTGAAATAAAAGTCTGTCGAATAAGAAAATTATAGTGTCTTGAAATAAAGCATGTTGTTGTTGTGTCTTTGCATGCTCAGTGTCTTAAAATAAAGTCTGTTGTTGCTGTGTCTTTGCATGCTCAGTGTCTTTAAATAAAGTCTGTTGTTGTTGTGTCTTTGCATGCTTTCTTGTTGTTGTTTTCGTCAAGCTGCGGTCATGTTTCTTGTTGTTGTGTCTTAAACCTAAATAATGGAATGTTTATTTTGCTAATATATATGGTCCACATGCTTCACTCCTGACACAGAATCCCCCCTCTCCATTTGCGAATGTTTATTTGTTGTGTTTTTTTTAAGTGTGGCCTAAAGCATTAGATTTAGTTGCCTTATAAGAGGCACAGGCATGGTTTCAATGCTATTACTCGTTGATTCCTTAGAAAAATGATTGAGCGTTTACATGTTTGTGATTTTGAACTTTACATAAGCAGCTTGCTGCTCTGTTGATATCTTTAAAACGGTTTTGTGTGTTTGTATAAACAAAACAATAACATTCATGTGTGTCACTATGCCACAACAGCTTAGAGTACCATTACAATGGTAAACTGATTGATTGATTCTCTTTTGAGTTATAAAGCTAATGCATATCTTTATTTGCTAACACATCTCTTTACCATTTCAATATTTCGCATAATAATCAATTAATACTAAGAACAAGAGTTGATAGAAAGACAAAGGCCCTGCGTTGTGAGGGATATACATAGCAGAACCTAGTGGAGTTCCCTCTGCGTCCGTTAACAGACACATCACTGACTCTGATCCTTCTGTCTCCATGTTAGACGACAAACTCAGATCGAAAATAGACAAAGGCTTATGTTAAAAGACACAAAAGCTAGTAATGATTGAGACTTGATTTGAGATAGACCCAACACACATAAGGTTCTTTTTGTTAAATAAACATGAACCATTTAGATTTCGATATACCATTACAAACTAAGACAAACATCTTCTCCAATCAAGACTTCTTTCACCAATCATTATCATCAAACGCAGAACTGTAATTAAGCAAGAAGTACATTAGGACTAATCTCTTAATCATTGTCACGGATTTGGTCGTGTCAAATATCATTAAGATCTCTTTTATGTCTTAGTGCTTGTTCTTCTTGGTATTATTACTTTTTCTTGGTTTCTTGAGCAAAATGGGTTATGTTGTGATCTTCATCTGCCTTAGAGACAGATAAGCGAGGAGGCGGTAACCAAAGATCATGGCAACGAGTGCAACCACTTCAGTCATTCCACTGTCTATTCTCATCCCGTTGATGGATTGAGCAAAGTCTTTATACTGCACTTTTAGAAGAAGCTTGTAGGTGTGGTAATTGAAGGATAAGTAACGTATCCACGAGATGAACACCGGTACTTTCTGAGCTCACACAAAGCAACAACAACTCAGAAACATAGCACATGAATAAAACAGAGGAAATTCAAGAAACAGAGCGAGTAAAAACAGAGGACTTACCTTGACAAAGAACCCTCCAGCGAGCATAAATGTCATGACAGTAACTGAAGCCAAAGTCGTAGCCTTCTTCAAGTCCATTAAGATTGCTCCAATAGCAAGTCCAAGTCCCTAGAAAATAAGAAACAGAATTAAACTCAGCGTTTTGATTTTACTTTTTTATTAAAGAACTCTGTTTTTGGTCAATCAGAATGTATACCTGAGATGCAATGATGCAAAGGAAGACAGTGAGCATGCTCAAGAAGAAGGGATACGGGCTAAGACGAAGACCTGTCATGAAATAGACCACGAGAAGGAAGAGAGAAGGCAAGATAAAGTCTAGAGGGAGATCACTCGTGGTCCGAGCTAAGAAATAAGCACTTAATCTATACATATCAGCTGCTCTCTCTTTATTCAGCATTGCTCTCTCTTGAGGAAACGCAAATATCGCTGTGAAAACAGGGAAGAACCCCCAGAAAACCGCTATGAAGAAGAGCAAACCAGCCTGTAAAACAAAAAACAAAAAAAAATCATATGATTTTCATGTTTTCTTGAGGTGCAAGGTAGAGAGGCGTGTGCATCAAGAATACCTGATCTTGTAGTCCTCTTGGAGTCCGAATATCTGACTGCCACCAGAGAAGACCTAAAATAACAGCTGTGGATAAAACTTGCGTTACACGCAACCAGCTGAAGTATTCGTGCCTACGCTCTTTGAGTCCTCTAGAGAACAGTATGCAGTATTGCTCCCACCAGCTAGCTCCCCATTGTCTCTTTAGACGCAAGACTTTAGCCTTAGCTTCTTCATCTAGTGGCACAGGATCAGTTAGTTTCTTCTTCTCCTGTTCTGCAACCCTAGTCTCATATGCCTCCACCAGATACTGCATGAAATGTTCCAATATATATCAAAACTCATTTTGGTTTCATATAATAGTCACAGATCTGAAATTTGGGGGCCATAAACATTTATTAAAGTTTTTTATAAATAATTATTTTCATAATTTGGAACCTAAACTTATATAAAAGATATTAAAAAATTGGAGGCGGAAACCAATGTTTCATTGGGCTTGGCCCAAACCCGATTAGAATAGCTATTGTTTCTGTATTACCTCATGGACAATAGCAGGAGATGGCTTGCCAGTTTGAGGCTCTCTCCCTGAGTTTCCGACTTGAACTCTATCCTCTAACTCAGATGGTACAGAGATGTCATTGATGTTACCATTGGCGAGATCAAGCAAGAACTCAGCAGGGTTCATGGTGATAAGAGGAGAGCAACCAATGGAAGAAAAGTAAACCAAAGCTTCTGATGATTTCCCAAAATAGAGAAGGTTTCCTCTTCCGAGTAAAATCAGCTTATCAAATCTATGGAAGAGTCTACTAGATGGTTGATGTATCGTTGTGATCACTGTCTTCCCCGCCTGTTTTCAAAACACATCAAGATTCAGTTCAGACAACCATCAAAGAGAGTATAAAGATACAAAGTGTGTTTGAAACAAACCAAACCTCAGCTATGTCATGGAGCATCTGGATGGTTCTTAGAGCAGTGGTGGAGTCTAAACCGGAAGTTGGTTCATCAAGAAGTAGTAAAGAAGGGTTAATGATGATCTCGTTTCCTATAGAAACTCTTTTCCTCTCTCCACCTGATACACCTCTCACGAATGCTCCACCAATCATAGTGTCTTGACACCTCTCCAGACCCAGCTCTTGGATAACTTCAATAGCACGTTGCTCCTTTTGCTCCCTTGTAAGAGTCTTAGGTAGACGCAAACGTGCAGCGTAGGTTAGCGTTTCTTTCACGGTAAGATGAGGAAAGAGCACATCGTCTTGAGTCACAAACCCGATCCTGTCATTAAACCAGGGAAAAAAAAAACAATTTTGAGTCTTCATATATACAAGAGAGATTAGGGTTTCATTAGGGCAAAAATGTACAACTTACTTGCTTTTCAAGTATTTAGAGTATGGCTTGTCGTTGTAAGTAACAGAGCCTCCAGTGGCGGATTGAGAGATTCGGCCACCAAGTAAGCTAAGAAGAGTTGTTTTGCCACTCCCTGAAGGACCCATGAGAGCAAGAACTTCACCGGGACTAACACTCCCATTTATCCCACTCAATATCTCTTTCTCTGCAGATGATGTCAGTTTCTTTACCGTCACCTTGTATGTAACTTCCTTGAACTGCATCCATTAAAACAGCCACTAAGTCTTGAGATTATGTCACTAATGATGAAACCTAACTTCAAAAGTGTACATATTTTCACTTATCCCCCCTCCATTTAGGCCATGTTTATTGGGGGGTTCTTAGGTGGGTTCTTAGTTTTGGTTAAGATATGTTTTTCAGTTTTTAACTAAGAAAAACTAAGAATCGACTCTAGAATAATAGATATAAGAACTAGTTTTTAGCTAAAAAGTGTAAGGAAAAAATGAAAAACTATAAACCCCACCCAAAGAATCCTCACTAAACATGTCCTTATACATGTGATTGTTCTTACATGACTTAAGACTATCTTAATTAGTCTTGTACATTAATGTCATGTAAGATGAGATTATGTACAAGACTTAAACCTGGTGGAAAAGTAGATACACAGAGATAGAGAGACAAATGTGTGATACTCTTTTGATCTCCTCTCAGTGCCTGTGCAAACAGAGAAGATCAGTTCCAAAAGAGATCACTCCCACTACAAACGAAAAAAAAAAACACCAACTATTTTAAATCTAATTTCTATCTAAAACGTAACACCAACGAGACATAATTAACAACCCAATGTTTTTTTTTTTATTTTCTCGTCTTGTCTGAATAGTTATGATTTATCTTACCTTGAGAAAGATGGGTAATGTTGGTTCTGCTTGAAACTTAGGCTTCTTGTTTCCCGCTTCATTGTCTTCCGCTGAAACAGTTAGGTGATCCCTTTTATTCATCGTTACCAATTAAAACTAAGGAAAAGAGGTCAGAGACTAAATGAATGAATCTTTCAAGTTAGGTGAATATTAACACCTAATTAATCACAATGTGGTAAGTGAGCTTTATAATGTACGATGTGTTCAATTGTTTGTTGGCCATTCTTTGTTAGCAACCGTCCTTCTCGGGGATTTGGACATTTACGGTGCATTTGCTAGTAGTTAACAGTAGTTCAAACTTCAAACACTACAACTCATAAATTGGGACCCACGTTTTGACTAATTTAGTAGTGATATGTACAATTTTTCTCACATATATAGTTTACCTACTTGCTTTAGTCATAAAAAGCTGTTAGGTTGAATATCATTCAATACGTGACGTTTAGAAATCACTCATTAGTTTTGTTTTATTCTGTTTACGCTACTTCTCTAGTGTTTACTTAGATTTTAGAAATTCTACCTGTATTGCACTAAATAAATATAAAAGATGTCAAGATTGTAGCATGAGTGTAGAGTTTATAAGTGGTGACAGTCAGTAGTGGTAAAGCATTGACTTCCTAAAACTACACTTGACTAAATAATATAAAAGGAACAAAAACGTACTGTAAACTTTTAATACGCATTATAAGTGCTTACGATTTACGCATGCATCTTTGACAAATAGTATTTTATACTTGTTAAGTAAACAAATTAGTTTCCAAAACAAACTTTATTAATCTACAATTGCTTGTAAGAAAAAAAATAGCTAGCGATTTGAAATGTTTCATTGTATTGGTTGAAGATTTATTTACACTCGAGTTTTAGTATTTAGATCCATATCTTTCATATCATTCTTGTAGTTTCAGTGTAGTGTGTTTGTAAAATATTTGGGATTAGTTTGAACTTTTTATACATGAAAGATATTAATGTTATCTTTTAATGCTTTCTCATTACTTAGGAGTATATAAGTATATTAATTGCAAGCACCACCGAATATGCAATTGAAAAGTGAAGAAAAGAAATAGCAAAAAAAGGTGAAAAGAAAACAAGTGGTGGAAACTGGAAAGTATATGTTGCACGAGAAAGATACCACGTGGAACAAAATAGAAGGCCGATTGCAGTTAAATAATTTATCCAACTCTCATGCAGAAAAGCAAAGCAACGCACACCAATCATATACCCGTTGTTATCATTATTATTGTATCATTAAATTTCATCTAAATGACGTAAATATCCTCACAGTATGGGGGAATACTATAACCAAATGACGAAACTGCCCTTAGTCAAGAAAAAAAATGATAAACGAAAAAAAGGTTCACACGACGACTTACGTATCATCTCGTCGTCGCTGAACGGTTTCGAGTCGGAGATTTCCTCCGGCGGCATAGCGAAACCGGTGAACGAGAACGAAAGCCCTAGCGAAGCACTGGAGGCGCGGCTCAGAGCCGCGCCACTGCTGACTTCCTCTAGCTCAAGCTTAAGTTGAGCACTCCTAGACTTCCTTATGTGTGTCCCAGCTCCTCCTCCACTCCTCCCTGGAGACGCTGACATCATCAGTCTCCTGCTTGATTTTCTAGACAACGTCTCTCTTCCACCACCTATGGACGCCGGAGCCGTCGCAGGGACACCATTAGCGTCCATGGAGCCGAAAGGTGATTTGATGGCAGCAGCCAGCGTCTCATATAGTTGCTCGGACCGTGTCCGAGCTAAACCTGAGGCCAAAGGTGGCTTCTCTGTTGACATGTTGGCCTTTTCGAAAACTGGCGAGTACAAATCATAAATCATTATCCTCAACAAAAATTTATAATTATTATGTTGAAGAATATCATAGGTTATAAACGTATGAACAATTCACAAATGAACGTACACAAAACAGGAATGACTATAAGAAGATGTATAGATTTTAAATTAGGTTATGGAATCGATACCTTTCTGGAACTAAAAGATAAAAGTAGTGTTTCCACCGTTTGAAAGATGTTTGTTTTTATGGAAGAGACGATGTAAAGGCTTGAATCTTGTGACACCCTTTCTAAGTTGCTTCATCAACCTTCTATATATAGTAGCATTTATGAGTGGGTCATTCCTAATTACGATAATGCCCTTAAGTTCAGTGGCAACTTGTCAGTTTTCATGTATATAATTTACGGAAGATTAATATATTATAAATAAAGCAATATTTAGTATGTACACACTTTTTTTTTTTGGTAAACAAGTGTGTATGTATGTACACACATACTTGGGTAATACGATATACTTGGGTAATACGAAGATTAACTTCAGTCTGTTTCGGTTAATAGACGGTTTTTACTGTTTTAGATTTTAACTAATAAAAACTAAGAATCGTTTTTTAAATAAGAGATATAAAAGTAGTTTTAATTAAAAAATGTTAAAAAAATATTTTAAAAATATTAAATCATAAGTTAAAAATTCTAACTAAATGAACGGGATTAATCATGCTCTAAGAGAACTAAAACGGATTACAATTTAGAGTATAAAGAGCATCATTGTATTTGTTGTTCAAAAGAAAAAGAGCATCGTATATATTTACATTCAAATTAGTGATATCAAAGCTAATATTTCTAATCATTTAAAACTCCTTGCACTTGCTTCCAATTTGCAATAAGAAAAAATTACAAATTACTCTGGCTAAATGTTAGTTTGTATATTGAGAGTGAAACGGATTGCAGTACTTGAATTTTATTTATACAAACATTATATGATTAAATTCGGACTAGATGTACCAAAACTAGAATCTAACCGTTATAGACTAACTTATTGTTATCAACAAATATATTTGTTGATATCTTTTCTTTTTCAATACTAAGTCGAATCCATATTTGCAGCGATGAGTATAACTTGACGAGTAATAGCGATAGTTTGCGGACATAATGAATCCAGCTAAGTATGAAGTTTTCTAGCATCCTGACCGTACACGTGCTGTAACATACGAATCATATGTACATGTTTTATCGTATATAAATGTTGAGCTGTTGTAGTAATCAACAATCGTTTTGGACCCCTCTTTTAGTACGATATAGATCGTCCATAATGCATGATTAGAAACCCATCAATTAATATGCGATATTATTATCAAATTATCTCAATTTATATCACATTAATTATTCAAAGTACATAATTCATGGTCAGCAATGCATCGCTTCATATAACATCTCATTTTCAGATTATTTCAATTTTTTGGACATTAGTTTTTAAAGTTCATTTTCGTCTATACCAACTTATTGAATAATCAACTCGTAGACGTGTGTGGCAAATTCAGTAAAATATAATCTTCATATATATACACACAAGTATCATGAATGTATCAATAGAAGAGTTTTTTGTTGAATATTTCAGAAAAACAAAAATAAAAGGTGTCCATCAAGACGTAATATTTTACCTTCTTTTTTCCGAACTAAAAAGCTTTTAGCATTAATTTCCTTTTAGCCTTATTAGCTTATCAGATTAGCCATGACGAAAGACAGCAAGAGAAGATAAAATAAATAGACAGTTATGTTTTATGTGATTGTTTTGTATTCTTGGAAAATGTACGAAAATATTGTGAGGCTTGAGTTGCATCTCATGTTACCCACGGGAGAGGGCACTTCCTATAAAAAGTTGGTTTTGGATGCTTTCTTCATGTCAATTATGCTTTGTACCCAAAACTTCTTGTTTTGTTTTTCTTTATTTAGTTTGTTTTGAGATCTATCAGCTTTCGTTAGGGATTTTCGTACTTATTATCGTCACATCTTCGTAAATGTTACGTCTACATTGGCTACACTTACAAGAATATATATAAATCAGTGTATCTTGGTGATAATTTACATACTCTACATGTATATATTTATTTGTTACATCTATTCTTCATATTTTTCTACATTTTCATCCGCGTTACTAGATTGTTTCTCACTATTTTTTCGTCTTAAATATATCCTGCATATGCAAAGTTTGTGTCTTCAACGTGTGTGCGAGTGCTCAAATTATATACGTCAATTTTGAATCAAATATAAGGTACTTAAATGATCTTTTCATATATGTACATTTAAATTTGTCACTGCAATAAAGTATAAAAAAATTAACTGATATGTATGGACGAAGATTTATATACACATGCATGTGTATGCTTATATGCACAGAATTAGTAATGTTGTAGATTGTGAATACCGAATTACTATCCAAATCAACCTATGAAATTCTAGGTGAAGTGCCAATTAAGATTCATTGCCTACTTCCTTGTACTCCTAGTAAATGAATCGTACCACTAGATCTCGAGAAACCACATCAATGTGCTAGTCACATCATTTTTCTTAAGAAGTTATTGTTAGGAATCCTACATTAAAACGTTGAAATGAAACCAAACTAATACAGATCAATACATTTTGAGGTAAAAATATATGAAACCTATCAATTAACCATCTAACAAACGAAAATCAGTGAGTATAGTCCTTAATCTATATATAGTTTGCCATCATGAGATTTTAACGAATTGCATTGACTGTAAATTAGGTCACATTCTATTGATGCAGTCTCCACCGTGTTAACATCACATAATCGATGATAATTAATTACATTAGTGAAATTTAAACGCCACCAATTATAAGTAGACACAGTAGCTAGAGATTTGAAACAAGACTCCAACAAAGACTTGTACTATGGCTGGCTGGCTGTTCTTTTTCTCCTCTGATACTTCAAAGTACACAATAGTATATAGCCTCTAAATATTGTTTCCGTCTACTTGACGTCGCACAAAATGATTTACGAAGGTACTAGATCCACTTCTTGATTGGTTCCTTTCATAATAATAACAGTTGAGAAAGCTATCTTGGCAAATTTGTATCCGACAAATAAGAATCAACCGTACGTTAGATCTAACAAGTTCTGACAATACTGCAAGCCCTAAATTTATGCAAGGACTCGACTATGATATTGCTGCAAGCCCTAATTTATGTAATGACGAATAGTATATTTGTTATAATTTGGTTTTCTTCAGAAGTTTATAGTGGTTAGCTTAAGTAGTGTATATATGTTTTCTAAAACTGGGATGACTCCAACCCATGCTAGTTTTGATGAAATATTTTCTTTAAAATAGACTTTCAATTGACTTCACGTACGTCTACCAAAGGTACAATAATAAATTAATTGTCATGTGAGGTCAACACGATAATTGAATGTATAATTTGGTACGTTATGTGTAAATGTTTGTACTGCGTCAGTGTGTATAGTCACGTACAGTAATGCGAGAAAGCTACGGACAGGTTGTGATTTTGCCAAGAAATCGATGTCTTCAGTTAAATTACAAAGTCAATAAATGCAGCAAACCCAATCTTTTGTTTTTTTTTCTTCCTTCTGAAATGATAAACGGCTTCTATTGATACCTACGTTTTGTTCATTTCTGCCATGGGATCCTCAATGGCGCAAAATTTCCACGTTAAATATTAATTAGCTATAGTAAACACACTCACAAAATAAAATAGTAGGATACATGTCTAAGTGGGGACAAGTAGCCACAAGAGATGAATGAGAAGGCACACACGTGGCGTGACAAGTGCGAAGATGAGTCAAGAAGAATCAAAGAGATGGAGCGAGAGCCCTTGTCCTTCCCCCACAATGTCTGGTCGGTAGTTGAAACGCTCGTTGTCGACTTGGCGAGCCCTCTCCTTCTTTTATTTATTCGTTTATAATAATTTAATAATAGAAATTAGACATAGAACATGTATTACTATTCTCTCTGGTTTATAATAATTAAAAATGTTTTAGAAATATTTTATAATTTTATCTGCAAAAATATATTTGATTTTTGTGACTATATATGACTATTTGTGACTAACTGTATTTACAGTATTGCTATGAGTAGTCACATAACGTTTTATTTAACTTCAAATGGTGTTTACTGTAGAAAAACTAAAGACATGTATACTTAATATGTGTTCTTGAAGTTTTCACTTCTAACTATAAAAGCTTATACATTAGAACATAGGAAATAAATTTAAATTGTTTAGAACATAATAAAAGGGTCAGAATGAAAATTTAATTAAAATAAAATAAAATAAAAGGGTCAGTGAAACAAATCTACAGAAATAATAAAACCGTTATACGGTAGAAAGAATAATATGGTTTCTGAACTGTTTATATGAATAACAAACATATTGAGTAGAACTTTAGAACTGGTGTGATTGCAGATTAATCTTAACTGCACGGCCGTCTAATAGCATGTGTAAGTGGAGCGGTCGAACAGGGCCCCAAATATAAAAATAGAAAAAAAAATAAGAAAAAATTAAGGAAAAATTAAGAATTTTTGAGAAATATATAGATAAATTATGATATTTTTTTAAAAAAAAATAGATATATTGCTAAATTAGAACTTATAGTTTTAAAGAAACATCAAACATTGTTATTAACTTTTAAAAAAAATTATTAAATCATAAATATATCATTAATTTTTTTTTTTGAACATGGTCTAAAATTTATTTGAGACGGTCCTGCTTACCTGACTAAATAATTAACTGTTAAACATAGACTGTAATATAGCGAAGTTAGCATAATATCGTGAAGTTTTATTTTGGTTTAGCAACAAATTTCATATCCGGTGTCGTGTCAAACAATTCCAGTTGCAACCGTGGTGTTAGATGAAAATTTTACGAGAAGATTAGACCAACTTCTAAAACAGAGAACGAGATATGTATCTTTAATGTTTAAATCAAGCCTCAACCACAATCAGATTATACAAAATTTCAATCAGTTTTCCATTTGGTAATGGGACCAACAGAAAAGACTCTCTTTGTCACGTGGCTTCTTCTCCTAAAGGACGGCACCGCCCCTCCTCTCGTTTTTATATGGAAGTACCCCTATATGCTTAAGTCAATTACATTACATTAAACTAAAATGCTAGATCTTTTCTTCTATAGCTTATATACATGGATTATAATGTTTAATTGACTAACTAGTACTTTTAACTAGACTAGTATTTATATGTATTACGACTGAACCTACTCCATCAACTTACTAGATGTGTGTCGATTTTGATTTCTAACATATTAATATCACGTAAAATATCTGTATTAGAGATGTGAAATAAAGGTGGCATACAAAATAAACATACTAATGTAGTGATGTAATCTTGTGCTATTGAAAATCACAGATCTTCCATAAGAAATACAAAAAAAAAAACACAAAGAAGTGAAGCAACTGTCACCAATAATCTCTGCAAGAACATAATCCATTTCTAAAATGATGAAATCTATTCCGATCTCTTACAATAAACTCTCTACCATAAACCTCAGAGATATGCTTTGTTACTGTATGGCAATCTTCACATACTCTCAAGTTCTTCACTATCCTAATGGTTGTACCAGGTTTAGTCTTCATCATACCATATGCAATAGCAAGTTTCTCGCTATGCATATGAATTGCACTCTCCTTCTCTTCCTCGTCTACATCAAAAAACGCATCCTCTGTGTTTCCCTTATACCCTACCAACCTTATCTTCCTCAAAATCTCTTCCCATTTCCTTTTGATCTTACCCATTTCAGGATGATCATCTCTCATGGAGAACTTGTTTATCTTCCCATCAATCTCTATCAAACTCCACCCTGGTGGTTTCTTAACAAGCTTCTCCTTCATCATGTCTCTCAACCTCTCGATTTTCTCCCATTTTCCTGCACACGCGTAGATATTCGAGAGCAAGACATAGTAGCCGCTATGTTCTGGTTTCACCTCTAACAACATATTCCCTACTCTCTCTGCCACTTCAGCGTTTTTATAAATCTTACATGCTCCAAGCAAAGCTCCTAATATAGGACCATTCGGCTTCACCGGCATTTCAAGGATAAACTTCTCAGCTTCTGCTAGCTTCCCAGCACGGCCAAGCATGTCAACAATGCAACCATAATGCTCTAGCCTAGGCTCAATTCCATACTCTCTTTTCATCATCTCATATAACTCCAAACCTTTTTCAACTAACCCACCGTGACTACAAGCTGAAAGAACAGCTGTGAATGTAACATCTCTAGGCACAAAACCTAACCTAACCATCCGTGAGAAGTAATGAATCGCCTTGTTACCATGACCATGCACCGCAAGACCTTTAATAACCGAACTCCAGCTCAAACTATCCTTCTCAGACAACTCCTCAAACACACGAACCGCCTTCTCCACTTCCCCACACCTCCAATACATCTCCACAAGAGCTGTCCCAAGAACAACATTAACACTCATTCCATTCCTAACCACATACTCATGCACTCTTACTCCAACCCCAAGCGCACCTAAATTCGCACAAGACGAAATCACACTCACCATAACAGTCTCATTCGCAACAACACCTTCCCTTCTCATCACTTCAAACAACTCAACCGCTTCCTCGAAACGTTTACTCTTCACATACCCATTAATCATAATACTCCACGTCACTAAATTCCTGTGAGGCATTTCGTCGAACATCTCTCGTGCATCTTCCACCATCCCACATTTACAATACCCATCCACCATAGAAGTCCAAGAAACCACGTCACGAAACAACATCCCCCCAAAGACTCTCCCAGCAGATGCAATCAACCCAAAACTAGCGTACATATGAACAAGAGAATTCTCTACATAAACATCGTTGTGAAACCCGAATCTAACTACATGTGAATGAACCTGCTCACCTGATTTCAAGGATTCAATCTCAGAAGAGGCTTTAATTAGAAAGGGGAACGTGATGTTATCTGGGGGGATGTGAAGTCTCAGCATTTGGGTGTAAAAGTTTAAAGCTTTATTAGGCTCTGGGCTTGTGGAGAAGGTGCGGATGAGTAGGTTGAAGATGTAAAGGTTTGGACTTTGGATCTGGGAGAAGATTTTGAGTGCGTGTTGAGTGGATTTGGAGAGGGAGAGGAGACGGCTTGCGATGAAGACGTCGGAGATGAGATGGGTTCGTATGAGGAAGGCATGGATGATCTTGAGGTCGGAGAAGGAGGAGCAGGTTTGGAGTAAGGTTAGCTTTGGGTGTTTTGAACGAAGAGTGTTGATCACAATGTTACTCATTCTCTGAAGAATGAAATGATAAAGTTTGTAGCTTTATAAAGAAACGAACTTTATAACGGTCTTAAAAAAAAATTGTGCTTACAATTAAAAATTATGGAATGATTGTGTTTAGAAAGAAAATTTGAAGGAACCAGATTTGGAATCTGTTACAGAGTCCCAGAAAGTGACTTTTTGTTCTTCTGCTAGTCTCTTTTCTTCTGCTTTGTTCTGTAGCTCTTGGATGGTTCCAGGGTAGGCTTCTTCAATGGCCTTTTTGAATTTGTCATGCAGATTCTCTCTGTCGTTTGTTCCTGAGACGAGTTCTTTAGCATTTGGTTTCTTCAGAAACTCCAATAC